CCCCCCCCTGTTTGGTCCCATTTTTTTTTTTTTTTGAGACGTTTTTTGCTATAGGGCGTGTGCGCGCCAGAAAGACACAGAGGACAGAAAGTGAGAAATCACCCCCCTGGGGGGATGGCCACACCGCAATCCCCTCTCCTCCATTCTCCTCTCAGGATCCTGGGCACGCATGCACACGAGCCCGGAGTGAGTTTAAGCCACCGGGTCCAGGAGGTTATTATTATTATTTTTAATTCTTTATTTAATTTTATTTATCCATTCATTCATTTATTTTAATTTGACCAGAGAGAGAAATAGAGAGAGAGAGTAAGCAAGCCACCATGTCCGAGACTCAAACCGTGGTTGGCCATGTGAGAGTGTCCAACACCTTAACCACCACGCCACCTGCTGGTCCCAACCAGGAGGTTATTTTGGATTATGTGGGCAAGGCCAGTGTAATGAGGGTGTCGCTCTAGCAGAGCAGGCCTGAGTCTAAGCCAGGAAGGGAGCCATCAGGAAGAGGGCGGAGCCAAGACACAGCCCAGTCTGGAAGCCCAGGCTCTGCCTGCTGGGTCTGAGAAAGCAAAGCGCAGCTCTCCCAGGGCGCAGGAAGCCAGGCCTGGGAACTCACGGACCTTACCCGGCCTCTGGTTTTGCAGATGAGGGAAGACGTACCCAAAGTCACACTGCCGTTCTGTGGCAGGAATATTTGACAATGCCAACCTTGACTCCCCACCCTGCCCGCCCAGTGCAGGAGCTTCTCCCTCCGAAGGTCCTATTGACCCAGAGGGCAGGACAGGAAGACAGAGAAGAAAACACCACCTTTAATCAACCCACCGGCAGAGAAACCGGGCAACACGCCCCACCACGCAAGGTGCCAGTGACAAGAGAACCTGGTCTCCTTGCAAAAACTGTCTTATAAAAACAAAAGGCTTCAAAGCACCAGTGGCTAAAAACACAGTCCAAAGGGGCCTGGGGTTGGAAGAAGTAAGGGGTGGAGGCAGGAGCGGGCCCAGTGGCAGCGCCCAGCCTGCCGGGACTGTCCTGGATCTCGGTGCTGGTCATGGCAGGTGAGCTCCGTTCTGGCAGCTTGGCGCCGCACTGCAGGTGGGATGGTGGGCTGGCGTTGCTGTCCTCGTGCGGCAGCACTAGCCTTGGAAAGTAGGAGATGCTGGATCCGAGAGTCTCTGGAGACAGGCTGGGGCGTGCCAACCACGTCCACCACCTGGCCTTCTCTCCTGTCCTGCCTCCCACTCTCCTCCCCAGCCCAGGCTGTGCCTCTTTCTCAGACTGGGACGCTGAGGCCTGACCCTCTCTCTGCGAGCTCACCAGCCAGTGCACGGGAGGGAAGTGGGTCCTGGGAGGGAGGTGGGGAGGAAGGGCGGGGAAGCCGGCCACCCCAGCCCCCTCCCCACACCCACACCTGTTCTGCCTGGGAAGGCATCCTGGGATGGCCAGCAGTTGCTTTAGACAGGAGTGGTCACACACTGGCCATTGCGGACGGAGGCCCAGGCGGCCTCCCGCCCTCTGATGCACAGGTCTTCCAGCCAGGGAGAGTGCAGCCGCTGGGCTGGCGGGGTTGCTAAGGGCTGGGAGATCTTGGGTGCGGTAGAGCCAGCCTCGGGGACCTGGACAGGGGCGGGTGACTGAGTTGTTTCCTCATTTTCTGGAGAGCTTGAAAGGTTTGCCAAGAAGCTGAGCTAGGAAGGCGTCCCTGTGGGTCAGGCTGAATCGGGGCTCCACGCTCCGCCTGCCCTTCCCTGGCAAGAAGGCCGAATGGGTATTGCTTTAAGAGAGGTGTCAGCAAGCGCGGATGTGGGAGTGCTGGAGACCACGCACGTTCAGTGTCCAAGCGGGAGGGGCTTGGGGATGGGATTCCGAGACCAGATGCTGGGTTCTGGAGTCTGAGAGGACAGGATGCGCCGTTCAAGGCCCGCCTCCAGCGGAAGCCCGGCCCTGTGGCTGCAGCACATCAGTCCCCTCTCAGTGCCTCAGTTTCCATGCCCCGGAAGTGGGAGTGATAACCCCAGCCGAGTCCAAGGGACTGGGCGTCAGGGAGACGGCTGGACCAGTCCAGATGCTAAAGGGCTATTTTAATGACCGGAAGGGGAACTGAGGCCCAGAGAGGGTAAGGCTTTGCTAGACGTCACACAGGGAGTCAGTGACGGCGCTGCCATCAGATCCCAGGGCTCGGGCCCCTTGGGTCCCAGTAGCTGTCCCAGGGCTACTGAGTGATGGTGAGGGGTCTGTGTCCTGCTGCCTCTGTGGGCCGAGCAGGGTGCTGGCAGAGGTTGGGGCAGGATGGCCCCAGCGCCCGCAAGGCTGAGATAAAAAACAATACCAAC